ACCACCCTAGTTCGAAGTAGGGTGGTAGTGTAGACATACCCTCAGAGCTATTTCGATGCTTGAAATGGGGACGCGCTATTACGATTTTGTTATTTCGGGAGTTATTTCATAGGATCGTAGAACTGAAAGGGACCTCAAGAGGTCATCGAGTCCAGTCCTTTTCCCTCATGGCAGGACCAAGCACTGTCTAGATCATCCCTGATAGATGTCTATTCAACCTGCTCTTAAATATCTCCAGTGATAGAGTTTCCACAACTTCCCTAGGCAACTTATTCCAGTGTTTAACCACCCTGACCATTAGGAAGTTTTCCCTAATGTCTATCCTAAACCTCCTTTGCTGCAATTTAAGCCTATTGCTTCTTGTCCTATCATCAGAGGCCAGGGAGAACAATTTTTCTCCCTCCTCCTTGTAACACCCTTTCAGATACTTGAAAACTGCTATCATGTCCCCTCTAAGTCTTCTCTGTTCTAAACTTAAGAAGTCCAATTATTTCAGTCCTTGTTTTCTAGACCTTTAATCATTCCTGTTACTCTTCTCTGTACCTTCTCCAATTTCTCCACAAATTTCTTGAAATGTGGTGCGCAGAACTGGACACAATACTTCAGCTGAGGTCTAATCAGTGCAGAGTAGAGCGGAAGAATAACTTCTTGTGTCTTGCTCACAACACACCTGTTAGTGCATCCCAGAATCATGTTTGCTTTTTTTTGCAACAGTGTCACACTGTTGATTCATGTTTAACCTGTGGTCCACTATAGCCCCTAAATCTCTGTCGGCAGTATTTCTAACTAGACAATCACTTCCCACTCTGTAGGTGTGGAACTGATTGTTCCTTCCTAAGCGGAGCACTTTGCATTTGTCCTTATGAAGCTTTCATCCTATTTATGTCAAACCATTTCTCTAGTTTGTCCAGATCATTTTGAATTTTGACCCCTAATTTTCCAAAACACTTGTAACCCCTCTCAGCTTAACTTAATTTATCTGCAAACTTAATAATCATACTCTCTATGTATGGGGTGGGCAATAATTTTTGATGGGGGGGACACTGCAAGATTTTGGAAACTCTTTCAGCATATTGAGGGTATGTCTACCCATCAAACACTTTCCTAGTGTCTACACAAGCCAACCGCTATTTCGAAATTAAATCAAAATAGTGGAGGGCTTATTTCAAAATTGGTAAACCTCATTCCAAGAGGAATAATGCCAATTTCAAAATTGCTATTTTGAAATAATTGCTGTGTAGACACTTATTTTGAAATAGGGGGCCTCCAGCCCTTCCCAGGGTGCCCCGGTGGCCACTCTGGTCTCAACCAAGAACACTCCACTCCCTTCCCCCCCCCAGAGCCCTTAAAGGGGTAGAGTCTGGCCACAGTGCCTGTGCCAGCTCCAAGCCTGCCAGCCCAGAGCCAGCAGTCACTGCCCCTGACCCAGTGGCCCCAAAACATGAGCCAGCAAGCCACTGGCAGCCAGTCCTCCTCTGCTCCCCAGGAGCAGCCTGCCAGCTCCCGGGAGCCTGCGAGCACCTGAAGAAGGTGGTTGCCTTCCTGGTCCAGGGTGGAGATCATGGACCTTATTCAGGTTTTGGGGGATGCTCCCAACGTCCATGATCTCTGTACTAGACGGGGAAACATGGCCGTCTATGATAGGATAGCTGCCAGGCTGGCCACCAAAGGCCACATGTGAACCCAGGAGCAGGTTCGCATGAAAATCAAGTTGGTCCGGCCAGACCCCCAGCCCTGAGCTTCCCCTCCCCCTTTTCCCCTTTCTTCCCCCTTCCAGCTCCTTCCTCCCAGGTTTCCTCCTTCCCGATAGCTGCCAGCCTGGCCACCAAAGGCCACATGCAAACCCATGAGCAGATTTGCATGAAAATCAAGTTAGTCCGGTGAGACCCCCAACCCTGAGTTTTCCCTCCCCCTTCTTCCCCTTGCTTCCCCCTTCCAGTTAAATAAAGAGAGTTTGTGTTCATGAAAATACATGTATTTTATTTTACATCAGGAAGGGGGGTTAGGGAAGGGTAAGTGGAAGGACATGAGGGAGGAATGAGGCACAGCCCCCCAGTGGAGCAAACCAGGGTGGCTCTTAGTGCTCCTCAGGGTGGAAGCTCTCCCGCAGGGCCTCCTTGATACTGACAGCCCGCCGATGGACCTCCCGGATGGCAGCCAGAAGAATGTGAAGCCAGGCTCATAGCAATGCATCCATGAGAAGCACCTGAGTGCCCAGGGACAGATCTGGCTCCATGTTGCAGAGTGCTGTGGTGTCCTGAGTGAGGGCAACCAGAGCATACAGAGATAAAATGCTTTGCTGTCCCTCATCGAGGTAGGCAAGTAAGCAGGGAAACCTGAGAACCGGCTGTCCAGGGGGCGTCCCTTTAAGCATAGGCCTTAGTTAGCTTCAGGCAGCAGCCACACATAGTAACTCCTGAATTGATGCCCTGCTGGACCTGCTTTTGTCCAGCCTTAAATGCAATTCAGCATCCACTCAGTGTGGACGTGCTATTTCGAAATAGCCAAATGCTATTTCAAAATGCATTTTGTGTGTAGACGTGTTATTTTGAAATATCTTATTTTGAAATAACTATTTCGAAATTAGATATTTCGAAATAATGCCGTAGTGTAGACGTACCCTAATGGAGGAGATGCCTAATGGAGGGGTCTGGGGTGGAAGTTGGGCGCAGGAGGGAGCTTGGGGTAAGGGATTGGTGTGCAGGAGGGAGACTGGAGTTTGGGAGGGAGTTTGGGTGAAGGAGAGGGTTGTGACCTAGGGCAGGGGTTTGGGATGTGATTTATGGTAGGTGGGGATTGTGATCTGGGGCAGGAGATTGGGGTGTCAGATCTGGGAGGGGGTATGGGTATAAGAGGGGGACAGAGGGTTTGGGTGTGTTGGGAGGGGGGGCAGAGAGTTGGGGCAGGAAAGGGCTGGGGTTCCAGAAACAGGCTGTGGCCAAGAGACTTACTTGCCAGCTGCCAAACTTGTCTGCCTGCCTGCAGAGGTTAAAATGTTTCCCAGCCAGTCTGCCTGCCTGCCTGGCCATGTGCTTCATGAATAACTGAGCCAAGGAGAGGGAACACAATTCTTCTAGGCTGCCTGTTACTCCAACAAGCAGCTTGCATTGGCTGGTTTCTGCCAGAAAGCGGCCAATGGTAATGTGCTAGGGGTGGAGTGTCTCCTAAAACTTCCCCTCTCCCCTCCAGTTTTAAAACAGAAACAGAACCTGTAGCTGCATTTCTGCATGGTGTGTGGGGCTGCAGGGCAAGTTGGTGAGCCTGCCTCTGGCTCCCCACTGCCTCCGTGGGCCATATTTTACCCAGGCCTGATCTATACCATCGTCTAAATGGTTGATGAAGATATTGAATAAAACTGGTCCCCAAACAGACCCCTGCGGAACCTCACTTGTTATGCCTTTCCAGCATGATTGTGAACCGTTAATAACTACTCTCTGAGAACAATTAGCCAGCCAGTTATGCACCCACCTAATAGTAGCCCCATCAAATTCAGGGAATATGTATTACAAGGAACAAATCTGTAAATGTGTCAATATCTGCAGTTGAGGATAATGCTGAAGTGTTCATAAAGGAACATTTTTGGGGTTTTAAACCATGGAAGAAGACAACTAGTACTTTAATGACTGAATGTGTTCTATGAGACCTTGAAGGAATGTCATTATCTATTGATAACTTTTATCGCTAACGTTATGACAATGGGAATAATATGAAAGGTAAAGACAATGGTATAGAAAAGAGACTAATAGAAATGAATTCTCGAGTTGTTTTGTTTGTTTCTTGTAATACAGATTCCCTTAATTTGGTTGTCAATGATGCTGCCAAATTTTGTTTGGAGGCAAAAAGTTTCTTTGACTTAAGCAATGCAACTTTCCCCCTCCCCCCGCAAATTTGATTGTCAATGATGCTGCCAAATTTGGTTTGGAGGCAAAAAGTTTCTTTGACCTAAGCAATGCAATTTTTTTTTCATGTTTGGTGTGCCATTGGGAAGTTCTTCATGCCCATATGTGTTCTCTAACTCTGAAACTATTGAGTCAAGCAAAGTGGGAGACTCAAATGGATGCCTTGAAACCTCTTCAGTATGATTCACTAATTGAAATTTCTGATGATTGTACCCTAACAGGATCACCTGGCAATATAGCGCATGCAGATGCAGAAGCTCTTGTAAATAGTCTTTGCAAGTTCAAATGTGTAGCTTCACTTATTGTGTGGTGTAGTATCATGTTTTGAGGTTAACCTCCCCAGTAAGAAACTTCAGGCAAAGGATTTCAACATACAACAGCTGCAACAGACCAAGAAGTTTGTAGAGGAATGCGGGTGTGATGAAGCATTTGAAAAGACATTAGTAGATGCTCATTGTTTAGGAATTTGAACTACCAACAGACTTCGAAACAGACAGCACATATTTGAAGAAAGAAGCAACAGTTCACATATGAGGCAAAAGACTAATCAGTTCAGGATCCAAAACAAAAATTCAAAGTAAACTTTTGTTTTTCAGTCCTAGATACTGCAATCCAATCAGTTAAAGATGATTTGAGCAAATACAGCAGCATGATTCAATATTTGGCTTCCTCAGTGATATGCAGTTTGCCAAATAAGACCTCAAAACAGATATTAGAACATTGATTGAAGCTACAGTTGGAATTACAACATGGAAACGAATCTTTAAAGAAAAAGAACAAATACAAAATATGATTAAAACTCAAATGTCTGTTGTACCTTAAAATTAATACCAATAGAAACAAATGTGGGCATTTGTTCCTATCAAAAAAACATCATACAATCTGATATTCTCAATGCTTAAGCCCTAAATAATAGCAATGGCATTGCAGGTCATACTGCAATACACTGTTAGAAGTATGAAACGTTTCTTAGAACCTGTTAGTGTCTTGCTTGGCTCACACCAGTACAGTTTCACTTTATAAAAACAAATAGTAAAATTTAGTAGTCATCACCCAAAAATCTTTACAATATTTAAACCTTGCTTTTACTTTCTCTAACAGTATACAAGATCCAAGGAACAAACTATGTCAAAATATTTTCGTCTTGAACAGCTGCAAGAAGAATTTAACTTTGTTACTGAAGAAGAGATTAAAAAGTGTAAACGTTTCCAGCTGTTGCAGCTTAGGAACTCAGAGCAGTTAGATTTCTGTCATATTCAGCAAATACCTCTGTATGACAGAGAGATACCAGATGCGCTCATTCAGGTATTTAATGTTTCCACTATGAACCCTGTTGCATGTTGTACATGACAATCTGAGTTTAATATTAATCTTTGATTTTTTTACAGTAGTTGAATTCAACTTTTCTCTTCCTATTTGATTTCAATATGCAGCATGCAGCATTGACATGTGTAATCTTTTACATTATCATGATATGAGGCCTAAGAATCAGATTCCAATGTTCTTATTCATGCTGAATAGCACATCATTCATTACTCAAGTAGTCCTTGTTGTGCTCAGTGATGCAAAATGCTAGTCAGAGTGAGTAAGGTTATCCAAACATGATCCTTAAATTTTAATGCAGTAAATTGGACAACATTGCTTTCAGTCTCTGGGAAATAATTGCTTTCCATAAAACAGCTTTGCAGTATCTCTATATCATTTTGATTCTTTTTTTTTCTATCTCATGTATGAGAGAACACATATTTCTCCTCTTGCCTATATATTTTTATTTCCTTTTTCCTCTTGTTGTTTTTAGTTATAACTTGTGAAGTAGTTAGGGATGCACTTTAAGGGGCATTTCTACACAGTAGCATTATTTTGGAATAACTGACGTTATTTCGAAATAACAAAATGTGTGTTTACACAGCAAGCCATTATTTTGAAATAATGTCGAGCTGGAGGACTTCTTATTCTGACTCCTATAACCCTCATTTTATGAGGAGTAAGGGAAGTCAAATGAAGAGTGTTCTTCTTTCAACTTTTGCTGTGTAGACAGCACAAAAAGCAGAATTAAGCTATTTTGATTTCAGTTACACAATTAATGTAGCTAAAGTTGCACATCTTAATTCAGTTTTTGCCCTGCTGTGTAGATGTACCCTGAGAGAATCCAATAACCATGTCATATTCTGGAATGCCTGTTACTTTCATCATAGTTTTTAAAAAGTGGAACATAATATAGTATATTTAAATGCCTCTTTTCATTTTCTTTAAAAAGCCTTGTAAAGATCAATGTATGATCTAGAAAAATTTCCCAATTCTGTGTTCAGGAATATGAAAGCCAATTAGAGAAGGATATATCAATGACAGATGTGGATCCTATTACTGCACAAAGAATTAGATCTGCCAACTTTGTAAGGAAGGTACGACAAATACTGACAGGACTGTATTGGCTATGAGAAGAATTACCACTTTTTTCTTTTCAGAATCTGTAATGTGAATGTAATGCTTATTACAGTGTTGGCTAGACAATGAATAGCAGTAGAATGTGCGGCAGCAGTACAAATTTCATCCCCATTGAGCCTAAAAACTTTTCTGGAGAGATGACTTCTGGAGCTGAATCTCTATCCCTATACAATCGTTGGTTTCTAGACTTCAAATAAGGGAGTGACTTGTGATGATGTTTTGATGAGAGAACACTTGTCCTCAATTGGATTGCGACTATCAGTTAGCCATTCAGTATTCTATACAAAACTATCAAATGATGATGATTTCTGGTTCCTTTCGGCAATGGTCAGGAATTAAGCTGATGACGTAGAGATGAGGGGTACCAAGATCCATTACTAAAGTCAGTCACTGCTGTGCATATATTAGCAGCAGAGTGACCAGGAACAGGATGCAAACCAAGGACTCACGCCTCTAAGGTGCTGAGTGTATCCTATAGCTTGTTGAGCCCCCATAGCTCTTATTGAAGCACCAGAGCATCTTCAGAAGTAAAATTTAAGAAATTGATATTTTAGTAAATTACTCTGTTGCTGCCATGCACGAAATCTCAGGAGTGGTGAGCAAATGTAAGTGATGGAGGCAGGGATGCACAAGAGAAGATGGAGGGGACTGTGGATCTCTTCTTCTCAATTGGTTGTAATGGGTGTTAACTTACAGGATAAAGGAGAAGAATTTCTCCTCTTTTGTTTTCATGGAACTTAATCAGTGTCCAGTCAAATTACTCATCCTGAGTGTGGGGAGTTTTCTGTTCATTAAAATCATCATGTGCATTAATTCTCTGGGTGCAGTTTTGTGCTGCAGGTCTAAGAGGTACACCCAGATCTCTCAACATTTAAATCTCTCAAGTTTTAAGGTGGAAAGCAACTTAATGCCATCCTTGCAGATTTAGACTTCTAAATGGGCCAAAGTGATCCCCAGCATAATTAAGGCAGCATGGGGAAGCTGTCTAAGTTACGGTGACCTCCGTAGGCTGCCATATGATTTGCATCATAAGGCAGAATAGTAACAGAAGTATCTGTGTTGTCTATGTCAGTGTTTCTCAATCTTCTTTTAGAAAGTACCCCTTTTTAAAAAATATAAGTACCCCCAGTACCTATAGTTTTCAGACACACACAATTTTTTTCTGCCATTGCAACACATCTGTTTAAACAACTTATTTGTAGCCGGGAGGACAATTAAATTTTTGGGTGTGAAAAGTACGAAAATAATAAAATGCTGTAAAACTTAGAACAAGAATTCAGTTTTCTCCAAATTTCAGTTGTGCTGATGTACCCCCCAGACTTCTGTTGACTATCCCTAACAGTACTCATACCACTGGCTGAGAAACACTGGTCTATGTGACCTCATTTTCCATTCCATCCAATTTGTGACACATTGCTGCAGCTTGCAGTAGTTGACTTGCAAGACAGCATAAGGTGCTTTGAAGAATTCTGAACTAGGGGAATCCTTATCTGGCCAGATCCAGGGCACTGCAGCATGAAAGTACCATAACAGAGAATTCCTGCCCATATATTTACAATATGGATTTTCATTTTAGAGATATTATTTTTCATTAAAAACTCCATTTCTTTTGCAGATGAGAAAACTAATTTTAAAGCGACTTGTCAAAATTAAACACAAATTTAATTTAATGGATATTGTGAGTGATTATGAAGAAATTATATCTATGAGGTATAATTAAAAGCTAAAGTTTGAATTAAAGAATTTATCAAAAGTTCGTGTATTTATGTAAATGCATTACTTTATTAACATATTATTTTACCTGGCACTGTTGTAATACTATATATTTGCAAATTGGTATGTGAAAATTTAGTCTCATAACTTTCAGTGAGTTTAATGGATGTGGCTTGGCTGAAAGCAAATAGAATATTTTAGTTTATAACCTTTTTAAAAGTGATTGCATAATAGGTCTCAATATGAATTTTTGGATTCTTTTAATTGGTCAGAAAGAGAATAGATAGAAAAATACAAAGAATGTTTTGATTGGTCATATTTTTATGTATGGTTCTATTCTAAAAATGTTCTAGCTTTTGTATTGTATAAACTTGTTAATCTTGCTTCAGTGCAGGAGTAGCTAGTTCAGAAATCAGGTTATCAGATATAATTTTTTTTCTCTATGTCCTTAATGGTATATGTAACCCATAATGGTATATATCCTCAGGAGTTCTGTGTTGGAATGCAGAATAGGGGTATGTCTAGACTACATCCCTCTGTCACCAGAGGGATGTAAATTAGACATACCGAAATCGCTAATGAAGTGGGGATTTAAATATCCATGCTCCATTAGAATAAAAATGGCCACCGCTTTTTGCCAACACGGCACTTTGCCGACATTTTCATTTCTGTTCTCTTCCTGAATACCAGAGGCCGTTCAAACTTGTCCTCAAGACCTTAGGACTTGGCTTACCCTTTCCACTCATACATTAGACTCTGCCTGTGACAGTACACATGTATGAGAGAGTTACTCACCCTGTGCAGTAACATCTGTTCTTCGAGATGTGTGTCCCCGTGGGTGCTCCACTCGAGGTGCTGGGTCTGTCCCGGCGCCGCAAACCGGAGAAACTTCCATAGCAGTAGCCCTGCCGGCCTGCGCATGCGCTCCTGTTGCCTCGTGCCGTTCGCGCCATTACAGCTGAGCGCAGGCCGGCTCGTCAGTTTCCTTCAACCGTCCGCGGCCGCAGACGGATCTAGGACGAGCTCCTTCTCCGCCTGAGGAGAAAAGGGAGACTTTGCCTTAAAAACCTATTACCACTGACAGTTTATAGTTAGGGTAGTTGTTACTAGTTGTTAATAGTTATTACTAGTTAGTTCTCAGGTTCTTGTTCCGTTCTAGTTTATAGTCTGTTAGTAGCCTTAAAAAAAAAGAAAAAAAAAAAGAAGAAGAAGGAAAAAGACTGTTTTATTGCTATCTATTAGGGGATGGGCACATCCCATTGAAGTGCCCTCACTGCATGAACTTGACAGCTCGCGCTCGGCACGATAGGGAAATGCGGCTGGGGGTGATTTTATTTAACAAAGCCCTTCAGTCTGATACGACCACGCCGTCTCCCGCTGTCTCGGGAGCGCACCTGCCTCGCTCGCCTGCGAAGGAGCTCCACAAACCCACCGGACTACTGCAGCACAGGAGCGTGCCGGACAGACCGGGTACCTCTGGCTCTTTGCTGAGGCACCCGGCAGAGAAGACGGGCAAGGGCCGTAGTGCCTCAGCCCTGGCTTTTGCAAGTGCTAAAGACCTGATGTGGGCTCCTGCTAAAGGACCGCGGGTGGAATCGGCACTGGCAGCAGCCCCCACGGCCGACTTACAGCCGATAATGGCAGGCCCGGTACCAG